CAAACACTCTTGCCGCCGCGCCGACGGATAATCGCGGCGTCTTTCAGATCAACTCGGGGCCGTGCTAGCTGTGGACTTAAAAATTATAAACTGGCTTTGATGAGGCCAGCACGACATTTGTACCCATTTTGATGCTTCTTTTTTTTTATTTGGGCTTTCATGTTTTGTTTTATCCTTCTTGCCTTCTGCCACCTTTGATATACTCTTAAAGGGTGTTTATAAGTCTTGGAAGAGTTAAAGGTGGGTGTAAAAGGAAGCAAATAAAATTAACTCCCGGATATAATATATAACTGGAACTTTTCTGTTTAAAAAATATTGAGGTTTGCCAAAAATGCATTTACCTAATCGAAACAATTTCAAATCAGACCTAGAGGTAATTAGGTATCAGAAAAGCCGGTCCATATTAGATTACACATTATTTTTTTCCTATAATTTCAAATCTCTAATTCAGTCCAATAATTTATGATCATATCTGATAGAAAGTTTTTATATTATCCGCAGTTTAATAGATAATTGAGAATTTTACAATAATATTGACCTCTGGAATGCTAAAAACAACAGTAGATGGTTCAGGTTTGACCATCTGACCCTTAGAATACTCTGTAAATAGCATACATAGATTTAATCGCATATCACATTTGAAATGATTGAACTTTTGACAGTCATATGATAATAATGCTTTTAGATATAATACGATTATGAAGGGGTGGATAGCTCAGTGGTTAGACTTGACTTTCGGATCAAGGGGTTGCGGATTTAAATCCCGCCGATTTATTTAATTAAAAATTATTCCAAATGCATAGGCAGGGTTCCCCACTTGACCACTCACAGTTGGGTTCTAACTAACAGTGATGTTCTTAAAGTGGCGCTGGTAAACAGCAACAAAGCCTGCACCAAACACAAGACGTTAATATAGAATAAATTTATAGTAGTGTGTGCAACAAGAGTGGATATGGACAATCCACTCAAGTTCTACAGTATATTTTTCTACAGCCCAATAATGAAAGTCTACAAATTTCAAAAATTATTTTAGGTTATTAAGACAAAATACCTTACTAATTTTAAAATAATAATACTCTCCCTAATTCACCCCCTAACGAGTGAAAAAATGTTACTCTTGAATTAAATAAAAGACCATACTTACTTACATTTTTAATAAGTTACAAATGTTTAAATTTAGCAGCCAGGTCCTTAAATCACACTAGATAACTGATAGGTAGGTACCTATTTATTAAAATAAGACGATTCTCTTATAGATAGTGTCAATCATTATAACTTCTGTGTAACAATTTAAATAAATTATGTAAATTTTAAAATGACAAGTGCTTAATAAGGCACCTAATATTTAGATTGTTTAAGTACATTATTTGTATCAGAAGTTTTTGATTTATGGTGAAATGTTGATAATGTTTACAATTTTTTTTTTCACAGGTAGGTATATAATTATTTTCGAATTAAATGTTGAGTTATTTTAGGTTTTCCTTACTCTAAACCAATTAAATTTTTAATTAGTTAGGTCCCTACTACTTAGAAATTTCAAGTCACATACAGTCCTTGTATGTTTATGTAAGATGAGTAGTTACAATAACTGGTATTACTAATTCTTCTAATGAGAGCTAGTACCATCCACAATACACTATTAATTATGTAAACTTATGGATCATTCAAAATAAATATGAGACAATTATATTTGCACTTAAGAAAATAAAGAGACTCTTGTCAATGGACTAACTGCCTGCAGTGGTTGGACATATGGATCCACCTCTACTCTCTAGTGGGCTGGTGTGTACTGTTCTACCTCTGTCTAATCAATAGCATTGCTTATTTTATACCATTCTTCTAGCATTATTGAGGAAAAGTTCACATACTGTATACTGTACAGACTTTTTAATTTATTTAACAACCAAGGGACCCTAAAAAACATTTACTTACTTGTTTGATTTATTCACTACAGTGAACAATTTTATATGTATGTTTGAAAATTGAATCCAAGAGCTGAACCCCAACCGGAAATCTTTATCATTAGTTTTACAAAAAAAAGTTAGTTCATAAAAGTTCTGTATGGTCCAAAACCAAACATAAAATTAGCAGATATCAAAATATTATCAGTTATATACGGGATATGTCACCAAATATAAATCGGGTGCAAGAATAACTCTACCTTTATTTTTAACAAAAAACATTAAATGCATGGAAAAATGTTATTAAGAAAAATTGTTTAGAATTAAACAACACAATATTTGATAATGCATTCACAACCATTCTACCTTAAAAAATTATAATTTCTAATTTTTTAACTTCAGGAAGCTGGTGAAAATCATAACTAAAATAAAACAAGGAGGCAAATTTAAAATACCTACTTAGATAAAGAAAGAGCATACTAGTATCAATGTTCACATATACATTTTCTGTACTGCAAAATCATAAAATGTGATTAAGATAAATGGCTGCAAGTGCTATTTAAATGTAGTTTTCAGTTACAAACAACTTTTCTTAAAAACAATTTTCCTCACAATTTTAGATAGTATTTTCAACAATTCAGGTAATTTATGTTCACACCAAATTTATATTTTGTCACATAGGTACCCACCCCTTGCATGATAGATACATTTTGATGTCTGATGTTTTCAGATTCTCCCGTTTTTAGAATCACGGTCCTGGTGTCCTGACAGAAGTGTCTCTGGATGCAAAAACGTCCCTGTTTCAAAAAATAAAGGTTTTTTGGATTTGTATTTTTTTTTAACAACTTCTTAGCATGGAAAATATATTTTGCTTATTTAACCTATCCTGTTTAGAATTTTCTTTATTAAAGACAAAGATAGTATTGTATGTAGGGTTGCCAACTCAGTGAAACAGACCACATATAAAAATCCGAGTAAAAATCAAATACATAAAAGAGTAACAAAGTGCACTTTTTAAAGTCAATTCATGCCTATAAAATTTTAAAATATTTTGGGCCAGGTATTTTTTTTTCTATAAAGTTGTATTTTGTTACTCAGTGGGTAGCTTAGAACTAACCCTTCCTTCATTAGAAACGATAAACTTATAAAACTTCTTGCATGTGCATTTGAAATTTTAGATTTGACATGTTTCATTAAGGCGATTAGAGCTAACGAAATAAGTTCTTTTATCTCATTGTCTGATTCTTCGACACATTTTTCAAAGAAATTAACCCAAAACATGTCTACTTTCGTTGTTTTGCTTGCAATAAATCATCATCCTCATTTATGGGCATGTTGAGAGAAGAACTCTTTTAATTTAGTCCACTCAATTTCTTTATTCATAATAAAATACCTGGTAGATTTTTGATATGTTCCTGTAGCCAGATTTTTTCAAAACAAATTGCCTTTTTTCAGGAGAATGCCGAAATTCCGGAAGAGTTGGCAACCCTAACTGTATGCAAAGTAGGTAGGTAGGTACCTATCTTCTAATCAGAAATATTCAAATAAGTATACAGTATATTTAATATTTATATACCTAAATTAGATAAATTTCCTAACTAAATTATAAGTTACCAGTTAAAAAATATTTTTATTTTGTTTGAAAGTAATTTTGGTTTTTTTTTAAGTTAAAATTACAATGTATGACAGTATGTAAGTTGTATGTAGGTACTGTGATAACTTACCTACCTTGTTTTTATTGTTTCAATGTTTAAAAAATATATAACATTAGAAAGTAAGTACCTACCTACATAATTTTTTTTTGTTAGAATGTGATTTGTTTAATAAAATGTTAAAATTTATATGTATGTAGTATTTACCTATGCACATCAAAAATAATTTCTAGATATGTTGAAGCATGTGTCCTGGTTTCGCCTCGGGTTTCACCATGCTAAAACCTGGTCACCCTGAGCTTTAGACTATGCAAAAGCTTTTTATAAAGGGATGGAAACTTTTTTTTGTAAAACTAATAATGAAAAAGTTTTTCACACTTGTGGCTTTAACTTAAGTAGAGAATTATCACTGAGTGGTGATAAACTTAAAAAAACACCACTGACAAAATTAACTGTTCGAATTTATGAAATCAACTAGATATTCATATTCAAAATGTTTTTCTGGCAGGTCCAGATATATTTCCTACTTATTTGCATTAATAAGATTTTTAGATTATTTTATTGGAATATTGTCAAATAATTATATTGTTGAAATAAATGGTAAACAATAGGCATGCAAAATTCATTGGATATTAATCTTTTGACAGTATGACCAGAATTAAAAAGAAAATAAGTAAAGGTAGGTATATTTTTTAATTAGGTACCTTAGTATTTATGTCTAGGTAGGTATTATCAGTTAAGAATTTCCCTTGGTGGAAGAATAAAATAAATTCTGTGAACTTCTTAATATTCAGCATTTTACAATAATAATGCACTGTCACCTGCACATATCATCAACCTACTGACTTTTCACTGTTAATGATTAGAAATGTAGGAACACTATTTTTGGTAAAATATAGATCCATAACCTATCTATTAAAACATTTACTTTAAATAAGAAATAAATAAATTGAAACCTAAACTGCCAACTGGAGTGCGTTTAGAAACCTCGCACGGCGCGTCTGACCGCATACATTAGAATAGGGTCCAGACGCGCCGTGCGTGGTTTCTAAACGCACTCCTGCTTTTTAAACAAAAAATGCTCAGAAGACAAATGAGTTGCTATTTGGAGTATTAAAATTCTGAATTTACATAATACTTGCGTGCCTGCATTTAACTTGCACCTTTCTGCATAAGAAATAGCTAAATTCTCACCAGTTTAACATGAAACTAACTGAAAGATTATTTATTTACTTTTGTTAATTATTTTAAGATAGTTTGTTATTAGATCCACGATGCTTTTCCTGGAATTTAAGAATGAATATAACCTAAAATAATAAAATAGAATTCTATAAGTTTCTTTTCATTCAATAATATTCTTAATTAACAGTTTTTAACTGGTAATTTTAATATGAAATTTGCCTAAAACAGCTTTATCCCTAAGACCATAAACAAATATACAACTCACCTTTTTATAGCACCTATTTCTCCTTTCTGTTAAAAATCCAAATGTTATTTTCGTACCCAAAACATAAACACAACACATTTTAACACAAAAACATTTTGCAAAGGTAACACAATAAAAATAATCAACGCCTATTCTAATAACGGCACTTATAAATATATTTTTTATCACTATTTTAACAACAAACAAAATTATAAAATAGTAATCGAACCCCGTTCTAAACTAAAGTCGCCATGAGAATGAGAAATAATTCATTGGATCCTACTCCACCTGCCAGACAACTGTTGAACTAATCAAGTTGGAGAGAGAGCCAATGAAAGCGCGTTATTTGAATGGAATTAAAATTTACGCGGCAAACAGTCATTTAAAAATCTGATGTGTCCAACACATGACTTTCCTATCTAGTTATTATATAGGCTTTTTCCGGTTATTTTGTACAACCTATTGCAGCACCTCTATAAATGTTTAGAGGATAAACTAAATATACACATTTTCCACATAAATCTACCTCATTTTTCTATAGATATTCATTGAAAACGAAAATACTGAAAAATTTAAATTTAGCACTCTCTCCAATTTTTCCATTACGGTCCATTTCAGAAAAATCATATATAAACAAAAAATTATAGAGATCGGATATCGCAAACAACTTTTAGTTCAACAATTTTCATAAAAATCAGAATTTTGCACATTTTATCAAATTTCTCGAATACGGACCATTTCAGGAAATTTTGACATGAAGCAAAAATTATAAATAATATTAGAAGTAACTTTTATTTGAACAATTTTCTTCTCCAAACATAAATAACAGACATATTCCATAAAATATAAAAACGGCCTCCTATAAAGTACGCCCCCAGATGTTCCGACTTTGTCCAAAATCTAATCAATTCACGTCAGGCCGAAATAAAACTTAAGTTTAAAATTTAATGTTTTTTTCTCTATCCGTTTTTGGGTTTTCTTCAAAATTCGACATTTACACATTTTCTCAAAGATCTCGAATACGGTCCATTTTAGAGATATTATGTATAGAATAAAAATTATAGAGTATTATATTACAAACAACTTGTATTTGAACAATTTTTATAAAAAAATATTTTTTTTTATTTTGTCAAATTTTTTCGAATACGGACCATTTTAGGAAAATTTTGTATAAAACAAAAATTATAGTTAATAATATTAGAAGTAACTTTCATTTGAAGAATTTTTTTCTCCAAACGTAAATAACAGATATATTCCATAAAATATAAAAATGACCACCTATAAAGTACCCCCCAGATGTTCCGACTCTGCCCAAAAACTAATCTGTTCAGTGAACGATGGAATAAAGCTTAAGTTTCGAATTTGGTGTTTTTTCTGTGTATCGGTTCATGAGTTATGGTGGATACACACATACACATGCATGCACGCACACACGCACACACACACACACACACACACACACACACACACACACACACACACACACACACACACACCCACGCACGCACCCACGCACGCACGCACGCACGCACACACACAGTCAAAACGGATTCAGGGGACCTCAAAACGTAAAAATCCGTCGAAAACTCGAGGTCGAAAAAAATCATGATTCCTATACTTATATCTGTATACAGATATGAAAGTAAAAATGCTCGTACGAGAAGTTCCATTCTCTATAACCCTGGAATAGATTTAAATCATAAATAACCTTAATTTTCAGATTTTATATAAGCCATTGTAAAGTAAATGTTGTGCATGCGAATTGAATGATGGTTTTACTTAGGAGTTATGATTAGTGGTCGGATCACTCATTTGCAGGACCATTTTCTGGATCACTAATTAGTTTTCCTATGACTACCGATTAATTTAAGAAGCGATACCTCTTTTTATGCCCAAAATGATGAGATAGTCACACTGTCTAAGAATAGTTCACTGAACTATATGGAATTATCTAATAAGTGGGAGAAAATAAAAGAAGGCAATAAAAATTGACTAACCTACCCCAAATGAAAACGCTCTTTGGTTTTTGGTTGTCTTTGGATTTTTTACTGAAATTCATTTCTATAAGTCTGCATGGCTTTGGCCAATGGTGTTAGAAAGAGAACAAAATAAATTAAAGGAACCAAAAGAGGTTAACGCATGGAGGAAGCATTAACGCGGCTGTGTGCACGTAATTTTTAGATCAGCAAGGAAAACTTGTATTTCCTACAAAAATTCTTGTATTTAAAAAATGCAAAGCGCTTTTGGCATTACACCATCCTCAGTGCTTATTGTCAGTCAAAATAAGACTTTCGCAATAATATATAGGTCGTCATTGCTAAATCACCATTAATATTTGGTTTAAAATTATTTTTGGTTTATTTGTTATAAATAGCAGTTTTTCATCCACTTTATTAAGCCATTTATATTTTTAAATTTCAAATTGCTGCTTCGAAGAGCAGCGACAGCTATGCACGGTCCGAAAGTTCTAGGTTCGAATCCTGATGGTCGATGCACTTATTTTTTCTTTTCTTTAATTCTCAGCTTTTTTTAATTTTTACTTTAGTTTTTTCACTTTGGGGATACGAGGGTGTAATTTTCATAATTTCGTAGGGGAAATTGGGGATTTTTCATTTTTATGTTTCTAAAATTGCAAAAATTTAAGAGTATAGGTACTTACCTAGATAATCTGTCCGGAAATTGCTTGTAGGTACGGATGAGCTACCATGCACAGTATGATGGGATCAAAATAAAATAAGCTGATTTAACCCAGTAGCAGTTGGTACCTTGGGTGGGGGGATTGTTACTTTTGAATAAAATATTAGATACAACTACTGAACGAAGGTCGGTGGATGCAACCCATATCATATAAATATATATTTCTATTAGAATACAAAAAGAAGAAATTAGGAGTTTCATTTTACATTCAAGGAATGTTGTCTTTTAAAACTACTGATAAAAGCATAAATTAATATTCTCAAATTTACAAAAAATACCCATTATGAGTTTGCTGTGGCTAAATAATATACAAAAATCTCTTTCCCAGCTTTTGCTAGGATTATTCTTATGCAACCAAACATAGAATAACGTATGTTGTATTGCCTACGTGGTGTCTAGAATGGCGCGAAAACGGTCTCTTCCAACGACCTATATGTAGTCGTGTTCTCTAGTCTTTTTTTTGTAATGAAAAGGACGAAATTTTAATAAAAAAGTGCATGTAAATAAATGAAACATTTTAATTTAAACAAAAATAATTATACTTACACCCCTTTTAATTATACGAATATTTCTCCATTGAATGAATATATTTTATCAATATATAATTTTCTTATGCAATATTGGAATTTTCGTAGTAAGAAATATCCTTCAAATTAAAATTTTACGATAAGTGCCGCAGTTAGAGTATCAACATACCAACAGAGATTAACAGAGATTAGTTATAAGGAGGACAGGTAGGAGGACACTTCGAGGAAAGACAAAAAAGTATAAAAGGAGGATTGTCCTCCCGAAAGGAGGACAATTGGTAACCTTACCCATAGAAAAATAATACCTGTTGCGTATAAAAATTCGATATCTGCGACTTCCGAGTGCGACCGATCTGCCGCACGAACACCTGAATTGAGGGCTACAAAAGTTTTAGACCTTCCTTGTTTGCAGTGGATAGGTCACTAAAGAGAAGGAGGCGAATCGACATATTTCAAAGATTGATATACTGATATTTCCATTTCAATTCTAACACTTATTATTTCAAAATGTAAATAATTTATAAATATCTCATAATAAATTCATGTACATATTTTATTTATAATTTTTTTTTAGGAGAAAAGTACCTACTTGAAGAACCTCGCAAATTTAAATTTACAATATTGTTTTTTCTTTTAGATAATTTGCTTTAGTTTTCAAATAAAATTTATTTTGTTTTTTTCTAAACCCCATAAGGTTGCATTACAAAAAAAAATTCAATGTTATGAATATTCAAAATAACGTGAATATAGGCATAAATAGATATTCTCAGTAAATCCAGAGAATATGCCATACATAATTATATTTTAGCAGATAAGAACATATCGTGGGCATGTTTCATGGGGACTTTGAATATTCCTGAAATCTTCATGTCATATGCCATGGCGGATATGGCATATCCATGGAATAAAGGAGTATGCAATTGAGATATGCATTGAATATTTAAGCAATATTTTTGTGCTTTCTGGGATGAGTGGCAAAAAACACCAAAGCAAGAATTACTTCATCCTAGGTTATAAAATGGGATATAAATAAGATGTAAAACTACAGAAAACACGAGAAATCAATTTAGTCTTTTTATAGCTCCTAGTGTGTAAGTAAAATTATTTATATATTTCTAAGGACCGATTCCACCGTTGCGTTAAACGAAATTTAAATTACTATACGAAGATTAAAATGGCATTGTTAATGTAAAATGTCATTTTAAACTTAGCTTAGTAATTTAAACTTTGTTTAACACAACGGCGGAATTAGCCCTCAATATAATATTTATTGTAAACTACTTAAAACCCGTATTTTACAGAGCGTAGTTTATTTTATTACAAATTTCTATAATATAAAATTTTACGGTCATAAATTTTCACTTACAAAAAACAACAACTACACATTACATTTAACTTACTAGAAAATAAACATTTTTCAGAGTTTTAATGAAGGGTTACTACTATTATTTTTTGTTGATCCCAATTTTGTCATTGTAAATGTTTTTTATAGGAACCTAAATGTTAATGCAGTGGCAGCATACCATTCACAGGGCTGATAAAGCACTTTCTAGAGATGTTGCACTTTTTAGAAAATATTTCCAAATATCATTTTTACTGATGGCAATGAGGCAATACCATGTATATATTCCCGAATCTCCCTTTATACTTGTATTATAACAATAAAAAAATATTTTAACTGTGTTTTATTTGGCTATTAAAACTATATTTAGGTATAATCCAAAAAAATTAGCCACAAAATTATACTTTCCAAATTTCATAATTTAACAAACCATTTCGAATTTGGTCATAGAACAGAAGTAAAAGTTGGAAATGCTTTTGCCAGTTCTCCCACTTTATACACATAAATTGACAGGTTGGCAGCGGATCTCACTGAAGTGGACGCGATACATTGGCGTACAAAATTATTTTATAGATGTTAATAACAATTTCGAGTAAATAGTTTAATAAATTGTGAATAGCTGTTGAAATTTTGTAAAATTATAATTTGAATATTATAATACATGTTTAATTATTATTTATAAT